GCACATACTAAAAGCAAATCACTAACAGACACTTACTACTGAAATTCCTCACTATCCTACTTTTACATCTGAAATACTGCAACACGTTCCTATTTGGGTTAAGTTGGGAAATACAGACTTTATTGGATTTGAGACATTTAGAGATATTCAAAGAAACGTTGAAGAATTAAACTTTTAATTGTGTAAAAGCTTATACATTCCCTGGGTTTAAAATTACTAAGGTAAAAAGGGGGAAACAATGAAAATTCTCTTTCTGGCCAGTTTCCCTCACCAGTTTATTTTGTTCAATGCTACAATTCGAGAATCCTAGTTTTGTACATATCAACAGAGAAAGAGATCAAGGGTCAAGGCTATAGATTAGCCATGGTTAACCATGAAAGCAGAGATACACTCACCTTGTTGAATAATAAAGAATGATTTTAGTGGAGCAAATACTAGAGCCTATCAACTGAGCAGAGAGCAATTCCACACACAGATTTCTAGCCTTGTGTGTGGAAACCTGTTTGACTGGTTTGGTCTCAGAGGAGCTAAGAGAACCCAAGGAGAAGTAAGACTCATGTAAACAAAGTAAATAACCATTTGAGGTACAGACCTTCTGAAGATACAGCTCAGGAACTTCAATGGGATGGCATAGAGAAGCTGAGAAATAGAGAAAGATAGGAGAGAGGAGAGTTAAAAAGGAAAGAGGTGAGGAGGAAGCAAGTTTAAAAATTGCTCAGATTCGTATTGAAAAATATAAGATGGTACATTCGTCATGTTTGAGTTTATTTCTCTATTTCAATATTTACTATCCATGTGACTTTGGGAAATGTTCCCATTTGTAAAATAGTAACTTCATTACAAATGCTGTTCATATAATATACGCAGTGCCTGGAATATATATATATACATACACACACATATAGTATATGTTCTCCCATGACAAATATTTTTATTTGTTATGAGTAATCCTGATTAACAAGAAGACAATTTTAAATCTCTGCAGGATTGAGATTCTCTAGTTACAGTTTATTCTTATAGCTCATCTGTATGATAGAGAAAAATCTGAAAACAATCTATTTTTGTTAAATTTGAAATAAGAGAATCTTTAGCTGCACAACTCATAAGGAAAATATGGGTACATCACTCAAAATCAGTCTGAGTTGAAGTTTAAGTTAAATGACTATCAAAGATATCAAAATCTATATATATAAAAGCCTAAGCGACTGGCCAACCAACGGCGACCAGCCAACCAGCCGGTAGCTACAATGCTCAACGATCACTAGGGGGCAGACGCTCAATGCAGGAGCAACTTTTCAGAGCGCCCTCTCACACTCCGGGACCCCTCCGAGGATGTGGAACTGCTGGTTTTGGTCTGATCCCCGCAGGCCAGGCCTCGGTACCTCACCTGCCAGAGGGACCCTGCTCACCCTGCAGACACCCTTTGAGCCCTGGTGCCGCCCAGGTGCGGTCAGCTGGGGAGGGATCGTGGGAGGTTGGCTCCAGGGCATGTCTGGCCAGTCTCACCCAGTCCCACCCCGCTGGCCACTTTCTAATTAATTTCCTATCAATGTGCATGAATTCGTACACTGGGCCTCTAGTTAAAAATAAGGCCACTGTACTTCTGAGAAACTTCAGTGTAAAGATGTTGTACTATATCTTTACCACCTTAATGAGAGCAATTTAAGCATTTTAACTTGTTGTTCTTCCCCCAAGACATTTCGATGAGGGCAAATTTTGTAATTAGTGGCCTCTAAATTTTAATTGCATCATTAGTCTTGTAGATCCATTCGGCGTCCCTCTTTCCTGAACTAGCTTATTCAATTAGCTAATAATTGCTTTCCACCTGTCAGGACAGAGTCAAAGTCTGCATCCTAGAAAAGTGGCACTGGCCACCACTGTTTCTTATAAAACTCCTGAGTTGTTAAGGTGTTTTAAGCTCCTAAGCAATTTGGAGAAACAAGGCAGAGATCAATCTTATTAGAGGTAGCTTTTGCCACTGTTAAAATTTCACTATATGGCCCAGGCTCCAGCCAACCATGAGCAATAATTGTGTCCTTGTGCCTGAATCTGCCTTGGCTAATGCCTAGCAATGTTTTTATGACTCATTTTGAGACATGGTCTATGGTAAATGTCTCAGTACTAAGCAAATACCCACTCAACTCAATACATTGGAAAGAAGTTTATTCAGGCAAGATGGGAACTGCAGCACAAGTTTCATAGACTGTGATTAAATGAAACCATTTGTCATAGTCTCAAAGGCCTTGTGAGAGATTTAGCTAATTCTTTGGGTTTTTTTAAACAGAGTAAATTCCCTTGTAAATACACAATTTGACATGCACGCCACCTTGCACTTCCTTATCTTTGTTCCTGAAACTTAAAAATAAAATGTATAATATAGTCTACCTTACATGGATTTACAAATTAATCAGTATTTAATGCCTCCAAATTTCTAAGTATATATATATATATGCCTAAGCGACCAAACAACCAAACGACTGGTCAACCAGTTGCTATAATGCGCACTGACCACCAGGCAGCAGATGCTCAACAAAGGAGCCATCCCCTGGTGGTCAGTGTGCTCCCACAGGGGGAGCGCTGCTCAGCTGACTGATGGGTGCCAGACGCTGGGCCCACAGCTGGCGAGTGCAGCTGCGGCAGCGTGAGCCTCTCCCACTTCTGCAGCAGTGCTACAAGCAGCAGAGGCAGCAGGTGCAGCAGGGCCAGGATGAGCGGGAGCGGGGCTGCGCCCGGCCCAGGCTCGGGCTCCTCCCTGGCTGCCTGCCGCTTGGCGCACCACTACATCCCTTGGCGGATGTCGGACTGCTGGTTTCAGCCCGATCCTCTGGCCTGCGGGGATCAGGCCAAAACTGGCAGTCCGACATCCCCTGAGGAGTCCTGGATCCCGAGAGGGAGCAGGCCAGGCTGACCCCACCGGGGCACGAATCTGTGCACCAGGCCTCTAGTAATTACATAGTTTGTTAATGCTCACAGCAACCTTCTTTCTAATGATTTCTTCTTCTCCTTCCTTAAGCTAATGCTGACTCAGACACCAGTAGGAAGATAATAGTGGTTGGGATATCACTTGGGTCTTAATCAGTTTCAGAAGTACTTCAGAGAAATGTACATGGTGCTTACATGTTTGCATCTGGTTTTTAATACTGTCAGATGTCTGGTGGGTTAAATTCATTATACCAAGTTTTGTCAAGGAACTTCTCACATTTTCATTGCACTAATCATCACAAAATACACTGAGTGGCCAGATTATTATGACCACCTGACGTTTGTAGGCAAATTAGCTATAATTTTGCGCTGAAGTTGCTAGGGGGCCAGACCATTATAAATAGGGAAGCAGGTTGTTTACCACGACAGTAGAAGTGATTTTTTTTTCTGAAGATATGGGTAAACAACGCAATTTAACAGCCTTTGAATGTGGGGGAGATATATATATATATATACATATATATATACATACATACACATGCACATATAGTCTAACCCTATTAAACTTTTTAAAATAATACATCTATTAGATGAGAAGTTGCTTTCATAAACTTAGATGTTGAAAGGTAATATTGGCCCTGGAATATAATTTTTGAACTCTTAAATTGACACTTATTTGATGTGACCCATTCATATCCCAGCTATACAGAGAGAGTTGGAGACAGTTTTATGTAGCTTGGACATAACAGGCAGTGTTTAGGCACATGAAAGATGTGTCTTAATCACTTATTCACTTCCTCCTGCCTGAGGTTTAAGTCAACTGTCCCATTCCAGCGAAGATTTTTGCACTCACAGAACTATTTTCCATGATACAGTTTATAAGAATTAAGTTTCTGCTTTACTTCCTAAAGAAAACTGTAAGGAAAGAGGTGAAGACATTGCACTCCATAGTCCCTTTGTATAGTGACATCTGCTGGGCTGTAGCCCATAGTGATTTTTAAGCAAGTACCTGCTCATTTTATTGAGGCAAAAGCTCATTTCTCTTGCTGTTCTAGTGTCTAGATTTTTGTGGTCCGGAGAAGTAATTTTCATTTAAGCATCAAAATCAGTTCCAGAGTTTAACAAGTTTATCTGATAGGAGAGCTAGAAATATACCCCTAATGCCTAGATTTGTAAACATCTATCTGTTGGCATAATTCAGAACAGCCTTGCCCCACAAAATTGTTAAGTAATTTCTTGCAGTTTATGTTTTGGGAATATCCTGGAGGAAAAGATACTGGAAATGAGCCAGTGTGGAGGGGTCCACAGAGTTACTGCTTTACATTAAGTAAACGAAATAGAAAACAACGCCCATTAAAGAGCCTAAACGTCTGTGATGAGACTGTTGGACTCATTTTAGAACATTTGCTGCACGAAAAGGACAAGACTGATGCTCTTTTAAAGACGCATCTCTTTGCCTTAAAAGGATGCAGTGATCCTTCTCTGGAGGGGGGTCGGGGGGACAAAGAAAGAAAGAACAGAAAAAGACTGATTTGCACTTTGATACGTACGGCCAAGCCACGCGGGTATGCCTTCCAAGAGTTGCTGGTAACAAACAAACAAAAAAAACCCTTGGAGCACCCTCAGTAAATGGCTCATTCCACCGCGGAC